GAGGTGAAAGCTCTGTGCTGTACTGCTGGGCAAGTAGAGTCCTGCCTGCTGCAGCCCCAGCCCTCAGCAGCCCCTCTCGCTGTGGGTACCCCAAGACCATTGAGGGAGGGATGAGTGTGCACCACAAACGGCTGGGCCAAGGGGGCTTTGAAAAGCATGCCTGCTTAGCTAAAACAAAGAGAAGGGAGTAATGAGGAAAGCTGGGGAGAAAGGCACGAACACACATGCTTCAGTTGATGCTGTGTAATAAGGGAATTAACTAATGAGCTTACTGCGGCACATGGACAAGTCCTTTAGAAATGTCATGGCCACCTGGGGCGGCTCGAAGAGGAGCCGGGCGGTCCTCATCGGCTGGAAAGATGAGGCCCCATCCCAGTCCCCCAGGAACAGCCCCACTTCCCGTCGGGCAGCGCATGTCCGGGGGTACCGGGGGGTGATGCAAATGCAACGAGAACCGTAACAAACAGTACGAGCAGCCCACGCTCACGGTTCCTCTTAGAGGGCTGCAGCCCAGCAACCCCACAACATCCATGCAGTGTGGCTGAGGCTGCTCAAGGTCCAACTCCCCCCAGACAAGCAGCGCTGGCATAAGGGGCTTCCAGAAACATGGAACACCTTCCCCTACAGCTGTGATGGATATGCAGACAATATAAATAGAACTCCAAAATACAGACTGTTTTTGTGAAAGCTGTTCAAATACAGCTGTACACAATCTGGGATGAACACAAATTCAAACATAAGTGTGTGCGAACGTGCTAATTTGAGCCGAAAGTGGGTGAGAGAACCTAATGTTAGAAGTCACTTAGAACAATGCAAACATTAAATATACAAATATTCATCAAATACTTATTTAGAAAGTGGCTTTTAGACAGTGATCGGCCTGGGCTGCAAGAAAAAGTATTTGCTGATTAATATTGAGCTCATGAAGGAATTTGCGCATGTGGCAGTATTTGCATGAATTAGAGCAGGGAAAGCATGAACAATGGTGAATGATGAACACCCTCCCTCGAGAAAAAAAAGAGAAAAGCAAAAATCCAAGCCAAAAATGAGGCTCCAAGTAAAAATTTTCTCCCACTTTAGTGAGGACACAATCAAACACAGATATTTGCTGGGAAGGTGAAAATCTGGTATTTTTGTTATTATATTAATTATGTGAAAAATAAATACGAAACTTATTCAGTATAAAAATTACTGAATATTTTGTTACCCAAAAAGAATGAAATTGAAAACTATTTTATGGAAACCATTTTCATTTAACTTTTCAGTGGGTTATTTTGAAACAAATTTTTTCTTTCATTTTCTTAAACCAGAAAGCTGTTCAAACTTTGGAAGCGCTGCCTTTTCATGTTTTCCTTGTCTTCTTTTTCTCCCCTGCTCTGAAGCTCCTTGAAGACAGCCTGATATTCGCACCAGATTTCCTCCTCTTTTCCCATCTTGTATTCCCTACAGTGACACTTTGCAAAGCTTTGGCACTCTGGTAAAAGGGGAAAAAAAGAACCGTGTAATATCGGTGATAGCAGTTGAAGCGCTGTAGGAATAACAGTAATTGAAGAAAGAAGAAAATATTTTCGACAATTTCAGTACATTTTTAGCTGCAGTAGAAGCAATTTGTGCCTGCCTAGAAAATGGTGGGATTTACAGTAAATGAGCCTGGGTTTTTTTGTTGTTGTTGTTCTTTTCAAAATGATTTAATTGTTGGGGGTTTTTTTTGTTGCTTTTTCTTTTTTTGCGGGAGGGTTTGGGGGGGTTTTCGGGGGTATTTTTTTCAACAGGGCAAAATCAGGAGGTATTTTCTGGGTCTCTGTTCTCAGATCAGCCGGGATTATTTAGGCTCAATGGACACAAGGGGAGGGCAGAGCACCAGGAGCAGCAGCAGGGCTGGGGGAGTAGTGGCGTCTCAGCCCATCTCGGGGCTCAGCTCCCGTGCTGCCGGCTGGGGAGGGAGAACCTCCTTCTCCAGCGCCAGAGGCTGCTGCTTCTCCCATAGCCAGACCCTCTGGCTGGGCTTGGAGGTGACATCACAAGTAGGGATGATCCCAACAGTTGTCACAGCAGTGGGTGTGCAGGGCTGCAGAGCTCATACCAGGGAAGATGCCATCACTGGGCAAAAGGAGCTCACACACCTGCAGTGTGGCTAAAGGGAGGAAAAGTGCTGAGGATGGTGTTTGGGAAGGAGGAGGAGATGTCCCCTTGCCTTTCCGGATGGTCACCTCTGTCCTAACTGAGAGCCCAGGCAACTGGAGTGCCATGAGGTCCCCATCTCATGCAGGGATGTGGCTATGAGCAATGCTGCTTCCTAGAGCCCACCAAAGTGGGGGCAGACAGGGGCTGACAACTCAGCCCCTTGCTCCCTTTGCACCAGGGTCCTTCCCCAGCTCCCTGTATCTGCTGTGGGACATGGGACAGACCCATGCCGAGGAAGGGGACTGTCACTGTGCAGCAACGAAACAATAGTCAGTGATGATTATTTATTTTACAAATAAATCAGTGGGTCCTGCAAGAGAAGGGCTGGAAAACAGCGAGTTTAGATTAGACCCTCCCCAAACCCCGGCTGGGCCTTGAGCCACTGTCAGGGCTGCAGAGAAACAGCAGCGAACTCTCACGCAAATGGCCTATAAAAAAGGCCCCTGTCAAAGGCACCTTGACCTGGAGGCTCGCTTTGGTGCTGGGCTCCCCAGCGGCCCTCCCCTCCCAGGGCTGCGCTCTCCTTGCATGATGTATTTCCCCTGCCTTTTTTAGAGCTGCATTATGTTAGCTCCAGGAAACAGCCTCTTCCTTCTTATAAACACAGCCCTGGGTTACTGACCAGCGGCCCTGCCACTCCACAGCCACTCTCTGTCCATCCATCACACCTCGCTGTCACCCTGGCAACATATCTCTTGGACCGGTCCGGCTCCAGAGATGGGAGAGGCAAGGAGGGGGGCAGCAGAGGAGGGGGGTCACATACACAGAGCACAATTCCAGCCTGCTGACTAATTCCCTGGAAACCCTGGGGCTGCACAATGAGAAAGCCTTTCCGAGGGTTTCTCGAGCGTTACTGGAAGGTCAGGCGAAGGTCAGCGCAAGGACATGGCTCCTACTTTCCCTGCCGTCAGCAAGGGCGGGTGCGCGGGGCGGACGTGGTGGAGCCACGGGGGTACGGCAGGCGCTCAGCGGGAGGGATGTTTGGAGAAGGGCGCCTGGGCCCAGGACGCGGCACGGTGCCCGCTCACCACTGATGGGCGCAGGGGACGTGCCTGGGATGGGGCTGGCAGGGTGTCCTGGCAGCCAGGCAGGCGTCGGCGCTTCCAGCGGGATCGGGCATGGCCACCGGTGTGGCCTCTTGGCTCCCCAGAAAAGTGGGGGACAAGGAAGGGAAGAGCTGCCTTGGCCTCGTGCTAATTCCCAGCCACCTTTGGAACAGCCTCATTGCCCTGGGACTGTTGGCCTGACATGGCATCACTGCACGGGTCGTTCCCAGTGCAGGAGGTGTCCTGCAGGAGAGCACCAAGATGAGTCCTGAGGAGAGCATCCCATGGCTTCCAGTGTGCTGGGCATCACCAGCACAGGAGCCATATGAAGATTCCCAGGTTACCCTGCCACTGCTCCCACGGGGATGCATTTTGGATTAGCCTTGGGCCCACCCAGCCTCTTGCATGCATGGCCAAATCACAGCAACCACAGCAGGAGGGGTCTGGCCTTACCCAACTCCTGAAACACCATCCTCACCTGTCCCCACCTGCTTGTCCTTCACGTTAAGCCATTGTCTCCAAGAGGAAATGCCATTTAAAGGCAGGTATTTTAAAAGAAATGGGAGATGTCTGCTCTCCGCACAACACACCGCTTCACTTGTGCCCATTCCCAGTGCAAAGCCGGGAGTCAGGTTTACATGGGGATAAAAAAAGAAAAAGGCAAAGCTTTTAAGGACAGATCTTCACAAACCCAAACCAAAGCCCCATAAGGGCAAATCCTTTCTAATCCATGCTCTTCCTTAGAGGTGTAAGTGGAGTGGAAGGGTGGAGGGAGAGATTTAAATCTGGGAAACTGAGGTCCCCATCCCTTTGGTCTGGCAGAGGGCCCACCGATAGACTAAAAACAAGTCTGCAGAGAAGCCTGTGTGGGATAATCCAGCTCTGGCCCCTGAGGGGATGAGAACAATTAGGAATCCTCTCTCAAGTCTCCACTCAAAGATAGAAAAACAGTTTATAATTTGGTCCGGAGTTGTTGTTAGAAAGTTCTGAATCATCAGGATACACTAACAATTCCTGCACTGTAATTACGAGGAGAATTCATTAGGCGGACTCAGAGATAAACTATTAACAGAAGCTTCCAAATCCCACCTGCCCGCCTGCGTGCGGGACCCAGGAGCTGCTCTATTTATACAGCGGCCATCAGTGAGGAGCTGTCACAGGAGGGAGCAGTACGAGCAGCCATGGCAAAATATGGAAAGTATTTTAAAGGAAAACTCAAGGATGGATGTTTATTAGAAGCATGCAGACCAAGCGCATGTTCCATCATTAACCTTTCCAGGCACAGTAGCCAGCCAGGGAGCGGTTTGCCTGTGTTGCTCTGGAACATGCTACAGTACCAACTCGCAGCAACCACAGAAAAACCCTCCACAGAGCTGGAAGCTGCCCATGGTGGCCTCTGAAAGCAATGTGAAAATGCCTTTTAGCTGAACCTGCCAGGCCCTTGTCTCGTATTTACCCAGAGGGGACAGAAAGGATGAGGTTCCCCAGCCCCCATCTTCCTCCCTGTCCCGCAGCTGCAGGTTGTTGCAAGGCAAAGGGATATTTGAGCACAACCCTGATGAGCTGTCTGGTGGTGAGCTGCAGCTGAGAAGATGAAGCCAAGCAACAGGGTGCCCCTCAGAGCCCATGGCAGCACCTATAGATGCTGTGTGAGTGCTACTGCACCACCACAAGTGTGTGCTCAGCCAAGGTTGCAGCTTAGCTTCTGCCAGCGCTGGTTTCTGCATCCTTTGTCAGGCCAATTATCCCCAAAACCACCCTGGCAAACCCTCAGCTGTGTGCCATTTTTGGTGCAGATTTGCCAGCTTCAGGGACAGACATGCCCAGGATGGCCTCATCCACATGGAAACAAGCCCTGCTTGCAGCCGGAGGAATCTTGATTAAGCAGGGAGAGAAGTGGGGACTGGCTGCCAGGCAGATGCCCTAAACAAGAGGAACTTATCAGCTGTTTCCAAGACAAGACATGTGTCACCACCTTGCAGAGATCCAGCTGGCCACTTACTGCTCACCAGCACGCCTGTACAGAAGCATGGCAGCTTCCCTCTCCCCACAGGATGCTGTAGAAATAGCCACTGAATAACGTACAAAATACCTTCTAGAAAAGGCTTTGCTGGGGCTAAGGAAAGCATTGCACCCAGAATGCTTCAGGGGAAGGCTCTGGGCAGGAATGGGAGCCAGCATGCAGCTGTGCTCCCAGCCAGTATGTTTGTTAGTGGCCGACCCCAGCAGCAGCACAGGGCGGTCCCCAGCCCAGAAACACCAAGTGCTGCGGACACCAAGGGACAGCTCCTCCGGCACACATGCAGCACGGCCCAACATGGCTAATCCCTCCTGTTTATTATGTAATAAAATGCTTTCTAGACCTGTTAAAGTTTAATTGGTTTAATCTTAATTGTTCCATTTTCTACGGTACAAGCAAACACAGAGCCTGACCCTGCCACTCTCGTGTGAACAGTCCCACAGGCTGCAGTGGGAGCAGGATGAGTCCTGCTGACCTCAGCAGGATTACATGCATGAATCAGAGCTGCAGGCCTGGGCTTGGAGCTGAAATCCAGCACCAGGCAGGTCGCCAGCGCAAGGCCCAGCGTCCACTTAGGCTCCACTTAAGACCTATGGGATGTAAGTGGTACGTGGGCCTGTGGATGCAAGTGGCAAGCAAGCCTCGTGCTGAGACTCTGCTGAAGGATGAATTTCAGCCTGGCTTCTTAACCTCGTGGATGCAAGCATGCAACAACAGCTTCTGAAACATGGAGCAAAGGTGCTCCCAGAAAGGCTGTGGGTTTTGCTTTAGCAAGTGGGTGGTGTACGTGTGTCTGCAGCAGTGTCCTCCTTCTGCTGGACAGGGGACCTTCTCATCACATGAGCTGCAAGCAGTGATTTATGACAGATTCTCCTCCAGAGGAAGAGGTGTTTTGCTACCCTCTGCACGTCCACAGTTATGTTGTGCAGCAGGGTGGCTTTGTGAAGCCTGGATATCCTTTGTGCATGAGAGACACCAAATAAAAGCAGGCAGGAGGGAGTCCTCGGTACTGACATTTCCTATCCTGCATTGCCTCAGACATAGTATGACCTTTACCTGCTCTTCCAAGTTGACCCTCACCAACCTCAATGTGTCAGTCTCAGTTTCACAGGTCCACGAGGCACTGAAACCAAGGGTAGCCTTCCCTTTAATGTCTATCCCTACTGAGCTCCTTGATGAAATGAGCAGCACTCTTGTGCGGGCAGCTCTGATCCCACAAAAGGCTGAGCACTGGATGTTGCACACAGCTACTGGTATCCCCCAAATCAAGCTCCCACCTTGGAAATGTATACATTCCTCAGGGCGCTAAAAGTCTGGTTCTGACCTTCTAAAAACATGTTTCTCACTGAGGCTTTGTTTTGGGACATATTTCCAAGCCATACATCCCTGAAAGAACTGTGAAGCAAAAGTAAATCGGCCAGTGCTAGTGGCGCAAGGAAAAAACGAAGAACGGGAAATATGTGCAGTGATGTATTTCTCAAGAAAATAGACATTAGATGAGTGGTTCTAGGCAAAGCCAAATAAGGGGGTTCTCAGGAGGAGTGGAGGCAGGTGTCAAGCAGAAGACCCGAGCAGGCAGGACAGTCTGGTCACTGAGCTGGCAAGGCTGAGACAGAGCAGCAGGAGACAGAATAGTGCCGAATGAGTGCACAGTATCCCCTGCCTGGATCTGGCTCCACTGCCCGCAGAAACCTCTGTTCTCCTGGAGAATAAAGACAAAGTTTTCCTTCAAAAAGCTGTGAAAAGCAGTTACCCCTGGCCAGGCGGCGCGGCGGGATTAAAACCCGTACCTTAAGCCGGGGGATACACCAATGCGGGCGCACCTTAAGCCGGGGGATACACCAATGCAGGCGCACCGGGCAACGGAACCCGGAGACACCCAGGACGAGTCCGCCGCTCACCGTGCGGGGAGAGCACGGCCCGGGAGCGAGCAGAGCACCGGCAGGTTCCGCGGCTTGCGAGGCCAGGCCGGGCACGTCCCCTCCGTCGGCTCCGTCGCGGGTGGGTGCCCCGGGACCCGCCGCCTGCCCGTGACTCGTCGCCGTCCCCACCGTGCGAGGGCGTCCCCGGCTCGCTGCGGTTCTCACATAAATCAGGGCCGAGCCCCTGGGAAAGAGCCATCCTTCACCGGGCGCTGCTGACAGAGAACGAGAAACAGACGGGCCCTGAGATAAACCACGGCGCGCAGCGTTTACACAAGGGCAGGCTCTGTGTAAATAGAGCCAGGCGCGGGGGGCAGCTCCTGGCTGCGCGGGTCTGCACCGGCCCCAGTCCCCGGGCCTCCGGGGCTGCCCGGAGCGGCGGGCAGGTGAGTGCCGCCCGCCGAGGGCCTCCTGCCGCCGCGCCGGGGCCGCTCCGCCGTCCCGCGTTGGCTTCCCGAGCACCGGGGCTGGAGACAGGGATGGATTAGCGTGTTTGTTTGTTTACGGCCATTAGCGCGGGGCCGGCTCCAGCACTCGGCACCCGCGAGACTAATGGAGCAATTAGCAGCCCTTGGGGCTGATAGCATCGCCCCGAGCGAGGCCCCCGGCAGCGGACGCCTGCTACCGGGCGGCCTGCTCCCAGGGCCCCGGGGAAAGGGGGAAAGTTGCCTGCCAGCCGCGGTGTGGAGGCCGCTGCAGGGCTGCTCCCCCTTCTCCGGGAGCGGGGGGGGGGCTCTTGGCCCCGCTGCAGCATCCGCACTGCGAGCTCCATCCATTACAATAATCCCCTGTCTAAACAGAGCGCAGGAGCGGCCGGGACAACAAGGCCCCGCTGTAAACAGAGCTCAGGGGACGCCGTTAATGATATAAATAAAATAACCATTAATAGCCCAGTGACCCCATCTCAGACGGCTTGGGAAGGCCCCGAAGCCGCATCCCGGGACTGACACCCGCCGGCAGGTACCGGGGCTGCGCCTTACCCCGGTTTCTGCACCCCAGTCCCTCTCGCTTAGGCCTGGCCGTGCCCGTCAGGCGCTATACCGGGGTGGTGTCCGCTGCGGGGTCCGAGCACCTCCCCGCTTCCTCGGCTTCTCCAGATGGGAAACCGCCGTTCGTGTCTCGCCGAAGCGAGCCAGATCCGGCACCACCAAAGGGGGGGATGCAGGCAGGAAGTCGGAGGCTAGCTTACCGCACCGGGAGCACCGGCGGGGAAAAAGATCGTGATACGGCAGGGGTGCTCCCGTGCGCGTCAGGTCCCGGCTGCTGCTCGCTCCTTCCGCGGGGTGTGGGTTCCCCGAGCACTCTGTGTGTCCCATGGCAGCACGATTGAGCGGGGCTCGGTGGTTTCCCTTTGCTAGAGCAAACCCCACAGCTTTCTGGGAGCACCTTTGCTCCATACTTCGGTCCCGAAGAGCCGATTCCGCCCGGTTCGGGCGGCCCGTGCCTGTAGGTCGTGCCTCGCACCCGGCCTGTCCTATGGCGCCGGGCAAGTCAGACCCCGCTGGGCTCTGGTCCTCAGCGGGCCGGGCCGGGCCGGATCTGTAATACCGATAAGGGAATGATTGTTACTGTTATCGGGGACGCAGCGCCGGGCTTCTCTGCGCACCAGCGGCACGGGGCAGAGCCGGAGCCCGATCGGGCCTGGTTATGGCGAGCGCATTTCTCCTTCCACCGTCCGCACCGGGCGGCCTCAGAACAGAAGGAAGGCGGGCGGGCAAAGGGAGCGGCAAGAGAGATCGATCAGCCACGATTTATGGCGACGGGTTTGAAGCGGCGCGGTGGGAACGATTCGTCCCGCCGGGGGAAAGGGAACCGGTCCCGCCGCGGGACCGGGAGCACCCGAGCTCTGTCGAAGTGAGCGGGACCGGGGCTCCCCTCCCAGCCTGCGCCGCCGGAAAATGGGTTTTTCCGGGACGTGCGGAGCGGCGGGAGCCGGGGAAAAGAGGGCACCGACAGAGTCGGTAAACGGCGGAGCCGACTGAGGGTAGACACCCGGGAGAAGCTCCCCCGAAGGCCCCGCGAATACCCGGCCGCGGAACACTCACCTGCCCGCCCTGTGAGCCCGGCTCCCTGCAGTATCGCCTCGGCGCAGATTTGTGGGGCGCCAGGATTTTAATCACAACGAATGATCTCTCCCGGGACCCCCCTCCTCTCCTTTGGTGAGCTCGCTCCCCGCATCTCCGCTGCGCTGAGCCCTTGGAGGGGTTCTGGGACCGCAGGCAGCCGCCGCAGGCTCGCGGCACACTCCCCCGAACCGCACCGGGGTGTTCGGTCGGTATTTGGGGCAGCCCGGGTGCCGGGAGAGCCGCAGTGCACAGGGGTCCCTGCAGGCTCCCTCGGAGCTTCACCCGCCTGCACGGCAGCGTGGTAACTCTGTGGAGCCGCTCGCCTCCCGTTACTGGCGGGTGAAAAACGAAACGAAACGAAAGAAAACGAAAGAAATCGAAAGGAAAGACCGAATAGTGCGGAATAACTCTCCTCACCCTAGTCCCTCGCCACCGCAGCCCCAGGACGCTCGCACGACCCGGCTTGGCCCGGCCCGGCTGGGCCTGGCAATCGCGGAGCTGCGGGGCCCGATCCGGCAGCGGCAACGGGGAGCGCATTCCCCGGGCGAGCGCGCGGCGCACCGGCTGCGGAGAACCCGGGCGAGCTGCCGATGGGCCGGTGGCGGGGAAATATAAGGGGGCACCTGCGGGGGGCATCGAGGGATGCGAAGTGGGTCGGGTGTGTGTAATGCGCGGGACGGCGAGGTTGCCGTCGGCTTCGGGAGGAGTGCGGGACGAGGAGAACCTCCTCTCCACGCAGCGTTTCGGGCGGCGGGAGGTACTTGCGGGGCCGGGCAGCCGTGCCGGCGGTGCGAGGAGGCCTGGACGGCGGGACAGCCCATGTTCGCCCCTCCCGGGGCCGGTCCTAGCCGTGTGCGGGCCGTGGCCGCCGGGGCGGGGGTCCCTACCTACTTACACGTGCTTAGCACTGGGGGGAGGGGGGCAGGCGGCAGTGTCGTCCGCAGCTCTCTGCGGGGACCCCTGCCCCTGCGCACCGTTACCGCGCCCGAGGGGCGGGTGCCGGGCGGGCGAGGCGCTCAGCGGGGAAGCGGCCGCACCGAGAGCAGCCTTAATACATTGCTATTTCTGGCCGGGCGGCCGGAGCCGGGCAGGGGGCCGGCTCTGCCTCCCCCTCCTTCCAATGGCGAGGCCGCCCCCGGCCCCTCCTCGCCGTGACGTGCCGGCCCGGGGCAGAGGAGGCTCCCGAGCCCTTGGCTGTCCCTGCAGAAGCTGTAACAAAACGCAGACCCCCAGCGCCGGGCTAATGGAGGCAACTTAGACAGGAGCAGGCGCGGCCCCTCGTCTCTCGGCGCTGCCTGCTCCCCCCAGCACCGGGCGCGGCGCTCCCCGCCGAGCCGCCGGCCGAGCGCCGCTGGGCTCGCGGGACTGCCTGGCTGCTTGTGCTGCCCCGATGATGTTACCGAGCCCCGTCACCTCCACCCCTTTCTCTGTCAAAGACATCCTCAACCTGGAGCAGCAGCAGGACCCGCACTATGGGGCCCAGCTCCCGCACCACCTGGAGCACCACTTCCACCCCGCCGCCTGCCTGCTGGCGGCCGCCGACGGCGCCCGCTTCTCCGACGGCGAGGAGGAAGAGGAGGAGGAGAAGCTGTCCTACCTGAGCTCCATGGCAGCTCCCAGCAGCCAGACGGACGCGCGGATCTCCGCCGATAACTACGTGCACGCCGTGCTGCGCGGCTCCTGCGAGGGCCCCGGCCCAGGAGAGGAGCTGGACCCCGCGGCCCGCACCCCAAGTGAGTATCAGCCCCGCCGCGCTCCCCCGCCCAGCCTGTCCGGACGCGCCCGCGCTCGCTCTCCGCGGTGCGTTCCCGGCCCGTGGGGCACCGCTCCGCGGAGCCTCGGTCCCGACGATGCCACCCGGTGCACGCCGCCGCGGCCGCGTTCCCTGGACATGTCGAGCCGGGACTGGTATCTCTCGGGGCTGCCACCACCCTCGTCCGAGCCCTGCCCGCCGCCTCCCCGGGAAGCGCCTCCGCAAGGCCCCGGTTCAGAGCTGCCGCATCAGGCCCGCGCTCCGAAATATTGGTAGCTGAGCGCAGGGAACGGGGCGGGTTAGGCCCAACCCGGGAGAGAGGCGGTGAAGCAGGTGCCCGGCACCGTGCGCGGTGCGGCCCGGGGCTCGGCCCCGTGGTGCCGCGAGAGTAACGCCTCAGCCGGGCCAGAGGCACGGGGATGCGCTTGGCTCCGCCGTCCGATCCGGCCCATCTTAAAACACCGGCGGTGCCGGAGGCGGCCTGTCCCGGCGCTGCCTCCCCTCCCGCCCCTCGGTTGCCCGACGGGTGCATAGCGGCGGGGGGCTCTCGCCCGCCGGTGGGTCCCGTCGGGAGCAGCGTGCGCCCGGTGTCACGATGTGCAGCCGTGACCTGTGCTCCCCCGTGCAGAGAGCTGCGTCCTGAAGAAGCCGCTGGATGCAGCGGAGAAGGCGGAGGAGGCGGAGAGGCCGAAGCAGCGGAGCCGAAGGAAGCCGCGCGTCCTCTTCTCCCAGGCTCAGGTCTTCGAGCTGGAGCGACGGTTCAAGCAGCAGCGTTACCTGTCGGCACCCGAGCGGGAGCACCTGGCCAGCAGCCTTAAGCTCACTTCCACGCAGGTGAAGATCTGGTTCCAGAACCGGCGCTACAAGTGTAAGCGGCAGCGGCAGGACAAGTCGCTGGAGCTGGGCGGCCCCACGGCCCCGCCACCACCGCGGAGGGTGGCCGTGCCCGTGCTGGTCCGCGATGGCAAACCGTGCCTCGGCGGGTCGCAGGGCTACAGCTCGGCGTACAACGGGCCCTACTCCTACAACGGCTTCCCCGCCTACGGCTACGGCAACGCCGCTTCCTACAACCCCGGTTACGGCTGCACCTACCCGGCGGGCACCGGCGGCGCTTCCATGCAAGCCACCTGCAGCCCGGCGGCCGCCGCCGGGCCCTTCGTGAACGTGGGCAGCCTGGGGAGCTTCGGCGGTGGCGGCCAGCCGCTGCACCAGGCGGCGGCGGGGCCCTCCTGCAGCCAGGGCGCACTGCAGGGCATCCGGGCCTGGTAGCCCGCACGCACTGAGGGCCGGGAGCGGACCGGCAGGACGGCCCGGCGGCTCCAGGGCCCCGTTATCACCCGCACCGCAGCCCGGCTGGGCGCCTCGCAATGCGCGCCCTGGACCGGAGGCGGCGGCGGCAGCGGGACGGCGAGGCGGGGACCCCTGCGCTCCCGCGGGTCGCGGTGCGGGACAGGCAGCGCGCGGTGCGGTGCGGCGCGGCAGGACGGGGCCGCCCCGAGCTCGCAGCGAAGAGCCGCAGACCCGCGGAGCCGCCGCAACGGCCGGGCGGGCCGGGGCCGATCGCGCCGCGCCCGCGGAGCAGCTTTGCTTGTAAAAAGCCGACGGCGGGGCCCGGGGGTGCCGCGGCCCCTCTATCTACTCTGTATCGGTTACTGCCAGCGCCAGCTCGCCGAGTCAGTCAATAAACCAGGTGCAATATCCGCCGCCCGCTCCTCCTTCGCCCAGCGGCCGGTGCCCAGCGGCGGGGAGGTCGCAGCGGCGTGCCCGCGGGGCAGGGCGGCCCGGCCGGCTTGTGAGCGTGCCAAGGGCGCTGAATGGGGCCGCGCAGCTCAGAGCCGGGCCCATTGTGGCGGCCGGGCCGGCGCTGAAAGGAGCCGCCGAGGAAGGTAGCGGGAATAGGCGCTTATTGGATTCGGGAACAAAAGGTGTGGCAGGGAGGCGAGGGACAAAGGGGCCCCGGCGCCGAGATTGACGGGCCGCTTTGCCCCCCACTGAGGCCCAGGCCCGGCGCTTTATGCGCGGGGGCTGCAGAAACGTGCTGGGTTTTGTTCCCCTTTCTGGGAGCGCAGGGGGAGAGGAGGGGGGTCCGCGGGCCGCTGATTAGGGCCGTCCGGGCCGGGCAGCCTGAATGCCGGGGCATTATTGCTACATGTTCAGCCATTTCGCTCGGCTGCAGGGGGAGGGGGTGGCCGAGGCCCCCGAACCCCGCGGGAGCGGCCGCGGGATCGCCCCGCGCCCGCCCCGTCCCGGGCCGCCCCGTCCCACCGCCACTGAGCTCTCGGAGCGGTCCTGGCCCCACCGCCGCGGCCGTGCCTCTGCCGCGCAGGTCCTGCCGAGCGCCGCAGCCGCTCCCGGGTAGGGCAGGACACCCGCGGAGCACCGTCTGGCTCGGCCCGGGTGGCGGCGGAGACCGGCGGCGCCGTGAGCGCTCCCGCACCGTGCCGCACATCTCCCGGCCGCGGCGTCGGAGCTCCTGAAGACATCCCCAGCGGACGGGACGGACGCAGCCGGGGCGCAGTGTGCCTCCTCTCTTGCTCAGCGGAGTCCACTGTGCCCTCTCCTGCCCTCTCCGTGCCTGTCGTGTCATGGTCCCTCCACCGCGGCCGGAGGACCCGGGCTTGTAGCCGCGGCAGAAGTAGCAGGTAAAGACCGTTCACCCTGCTAAACCCTTTTACACTGCGCATTTCCATCGCACGATCTGAACGCA